AATGCAATTATACAGCATAATTTTACTGAAAGAGAATCCAGAACCAGTGACTGAAAAAAGAACCCCCAAGCCCAAGAGCTATGCATTAAAATAATATAATTACATATATACACAAAAATGTACCACACAGATCTATACTTTACATGTATTTATTGCTTTCTCCAGTATTGCCTTCCAGCAGTTATTACTATTTATCTACTAGCAGAGTCTAGGGAAGATTATGCTGATAAATGCACTTTGAAAGCCACATAATAGTAACCAACTTTAGAAGGTTTAACTACCTTTTTCTCTGCTATTTTAACCAGTGCTGTTTTATAAAAACAATGTACTCAGATAGAATATCTCAACTCTCACCATATATTTACTGTAGAGAGGATGACCAGGTTTAGGTCTAGGAGGTAATGCTGGATCTGGATTTTTAAAGACTGCACTTTTTGCTCTCTTGGGTCCCAACCTGAACTTGTTGGTTTTTTTATCAGAAATGGTGTCAGAACTGGATCGTGAAAGAACATCCTTTTGGGAGGAGGTCTTGGCTGCAGAGAATTTTGGTGGAGGTGGCCTTCCAGGAACACTTTTAGGTGGGGGAGGTCGAGCAGGTATAATTTTTCCATCCACAGGCCTGAAAAATTGTGCAAAACATTAGAGAAACATGCATATTAATAAGTCTACCACCTCATCCTAGATACAGAGATGCAGTAAGGAAACAGGATTTGTGATGACCTGGGCCGTACAGTGTGTAGTATCTGAAGCTTTCCAGGAATACATGAACTCTTCAGATACTGACTGGGACCAGATGATCAAGTCCTTAGACAGATCCTTTGTCTATATATTTCAAAGTCTGCTCACCAACAGCCTGCCAGCTTTCTGGGGAGCCCACTAAATAAGAAGGATTTGTTTCAGCAATCCACCTCTAGAACGAGCTTTCACTGTAGCTGCTGCAGGAGGAAGTTCTGCTAATGGAGAGCTTTTGTGAAAGCTGGTCTTCAGGAATCAACCTAGCTCATTCCTTGGGATGTCACGTACCTAAAGTGACCCTGATGAAACTCATGACATATCACACCACTTTGCACGTTGCCATCAATAGCAGAATTTATCATTTTTTATGCAAAAGATGTCTACCACAGAAAGAAAACACTGGTGAAAACACTCAAGTTCTTTGGCAATGCTAGAGGTCCTGCACTCCTATTTGCAGAAGAGCAGTTTAGAAACCAAAATCAGAGACTAGCAAATGACAGCAGTAATATTTACTAGCAATAAATATTACTAGTAATATTCCAAAATTACAGTATCATTTAATTGTTATTGGGATATCTTCAACCAGTTACTGCAAGTTTCTGCTACAACTGGTTTTTTTGTTTCATATAATGTAATTCAGCATAATTATTTGCTCACATACAATCCTCATGGGTCTGCAAAAATTATCAACCCCAACAAGTGTGCATTGGTGGATCTTTAAAGTATCATTCTCACACATTTTGTGAATGTCAGCCATCACTTGAGAAGATACTAGTGGCTCTACTAATGCTCCTAATAAGAGTTCTCTGTTACTATTTGAGTATGGAACAACTTTTAAATGTTAAAAAAATTTTCCACTTCTCTTCATCATCCATCTCTCCCTTTTCTAGGCCTCATCTTAAACGACGCATTTTTAATATTGACAAAAGGGGATATTCCAAGTTAAACTACTTTAAACCTGTAACAGACTAACCCACACATTTTTAAAGCAACTTAACTAAACATTAAGACCCTAACAAGCAATTCAGTGAATTGTTTACTTTAAAAAAAAAATAATTAAAAATCCATTTGAGCAGAAGAGTGAAAGGAAAAAATATTTACTGCAGTTCCAGAGACCCTCATAAGAATCAGGAATGTTATGCTAAACTCAATGTGGGGAAGGAACAAGCCAGTAAAGAGCAATAATGAGGTGTTGCCTTGTGGCACATCCTCGTTCTTTCCTGTTAATTAATACTTATTATTGTTATTGATAGAATCATGTCAATAACAGAACAATTCTCTTGTCCTAACACAACAGAGCAAACTCTTGTTTTTAAACTCACAGATTTAGAATGCAAACACCAAGATACCCACAGTGTGCTGGCTAGTCAATGCCAGATCTCCATCCACTCTGTCTCTGGCATTGATGGACATGAATTAAAGGCTGGGCCAGCAACTTTTGCCCTTGCAGACATTCTTTCTTCTTGGTTCACAAGAATAAAAAACTCAAAGGTTATCATTGATCCTGAACCTGCATTTTAGATCCAAAGTGTATAGACTAGCCAGTGCTTCTGGGAAGCTGCTGGCCCAGCATTTGCCCTTTTCAGGGTGGCATCATCTGCCACCTCCATTCCTTCACCACCCAAATCCCACCACAAGTGCAAGTGCTGTGGGTGAAAAGGTTAAAGATTCAGAAAGGAATGACTGTCAGCAGCCACTGTACATTAGCTGAAAAGTCAAACAGCTGCTCTCCTATAATCTCCTTGCTCATGCCATACTGTACAAACAAGTATTAAACAGCTACCAACGTGATACCAACTATTAGTGAGTAGAGTGCCCAGCCAAGAATATTGAGCTATGGGTGGAGTCAGTAGTGTCTACACTGAGACTAACTATGCCAATTAATTTAGAAACACCAATTGTAAGGGCTTTTGGAGAACCATACTCACCTTGGGGGTAGTAGAGGTTCTAGCTGAGGCACTCCAGCCTGTTCTGAGTGATCCAAGTCCTACAACCATTCAAAAGAAAAAAGACATTTCTTTAAGTCTAAGGAAAATAAAAAATCTTGTTTAAATGATATAATTTTTGTATTAAATTATATCCTATGGACATGAGAAAGAAGAGTGCCTGGAGGTCTGGGAGTAAAGTAGTAAGAATTATGGTGTGATTCTGCAATTTTACAGTGTTGTTGAACATGGAGGAAAATACGGAGGGCAGATAACCTGATTTACCACCTGAAACGCAGCTTCAATTGCGCATTAAGTATGACACAGCCCCTTCTTTCCTACTACATGGTAGTAAGGCCTTAAGACCCAATTCCAGGAGAGTCACAGATGTACAATTACACTACCCAAAGGAATTTACATTATCAACTTTGATTTATTCCATGCATGGAACACTTTGAACAGGCTTAAAGGAGAAAACATGACACCAATGCAACTCACACAAGACAGCTTCTCTTGCAAACATTAGCTCCCATTAAAGAAGGCATCAAAATATGTTTGCTAGAGATCTAACAGACAAATCCCAGTGAATCTTGCTCTGGCAGATGAAGGCGTCACTCCTCCCAGCTGCCCATGCTGGCCCTGCCAGAGATTACCCCTGTACAGGAGGCGGAGAGGAGGACATGTGCCATGTCTGAAGGGCTTGGACCACAGTGAGGGATTAACAAGTGACCACCCTTACTGCCTCCTGCTGTTCGTTTTCATCCCCGTGCCAGACAGTTCTGCCAGCTCTGTGGAACAAGCACAGCTGCTTCTGGAACAGCATCAGAAATCAGAGCGCTGAATCTGGGTTCAAAAGAACCCTTTCTGAACCAGTACTTCCAGATAGGTCTGAACAGTCTGGTTTACTTAATTAGGTGCTTGAATGTGCCTGAAACTCAAACAATTTCTGTGAATTTTCTCATCTAGAAAACACCCAGATATATTTTGACAAAATCTGACCCTTGATTGAGTCCACAAATTAATGCTGATTAAATGACCCTATTAGAAAGAAAACAACCTGCCACTCTCAGATGAGGATGTTATCCTCATATCAAAAATTTTCCTCTTCTGTGTGAAAAGGAAGAAATCTGTGCCAACTGCTGCTTATGGTCAACAATTTTTGCTATTGCTGTTTAATCACTTCCACTGACAAACAATACTAGTTTTAGAAGCACAGCTCTTGCCTTTCCAAAGACAGGATTTCAATGTTTCAGTGGATTCAATACAATCTTTAAAAAAGAAATCCTCTGAAGCTTATACATGCCTGTCACAATAACCTGGATGACACTGTAAAAGTTTTGGAGTTCCACTGCATAAAATGTCATTTTATGTCCTGTTTTGTAAATTTTTTTTTTCAGCATTATCCAGAAAAGGTGGAACCTCTCTGAACAGCCTTTTCAATGATGACATTTTAATACCCTTTACCTTAATTGCAGAGGTAGCTACAAAGGCATTTGTTGGCAGCATCCATCTAATAAGGGCTTTTAATTTGATTTGATCTTTTACTGCCTGTGGCCTTCACAAGATTCTCTGCCATTTTTGTCATCAGAAAACTCAATATTTGTAAATTTTACTGTCATTTTCTAGTTTATTTTAATTTCAATTTGAAAATCTGTGTCAAATGTAATTTACCTACAATGCCTTCTATTACTATGTACATGCCCCGGAGCAAGGAGCAGAGCCTTACTTCCCAAAATAGGTGGTTCTACTCAGCAGAAATAATTAGAAGGAAAGAACTGAAAAAAGGCAAACTTCATTCTTCTACAGAAAAGTTTCCTCTGCCTGCAAATTAGCACAGACACCAAGAGAAGTTGTGTGCATGAAGGTAAAAAAGTACATTTCTAACGCACAACATTGACAACGTTTCACCATGTAAATCCCGCTGGACTTTGAGTCACTTTGCAATGCTTTTGCACTCAGTTGTAGAATATCATGATTCCAGATGATGAATACAGAAAATTGAAAACAGATATGATCGAAGCTTAGTAAAATCACCACAGACTTTTTCAAAACTGACAGCAGCCTAAATTACCTAATTAATTAGAGAACAGAATTAAAAAAAAATTGTATTTTTGAGTAGTTGTTTTCATCTTCTGGTCCTTCAAACAACTCCTTTTACAAATGCTTGAGGATCACAAGAGATCTTTTAACCAAAGCAGACAAAGCTGTAATACAGGAAAACAGTTCTAACTTACCCCTTTTTTCACTAGGTCACCACTGCTGGGTTTTCCCACTGTGATATTGGATGTGTTCCCAATAGGCTTTTCAGCAGGAAGTGGCGGAGGGCTATGTGGGTTGTCATTTAAAGCTGTAAAAAAACAAAGGAAATCCCAAATTAAAGTCTAATTAATAACCTCCTCATATGGATCAACAACAGGTAAAGGAATCTACTTTTGTTTGGGGCATTTTTTGTGTGAATGCAACTTCCTCCATTAAAGCTGGAGCAGCCAAAGGGAAGAACCACTTAAAGAGTAGTGAAGGGAAAAGGGACATGAGGGGAACATTGTAACTCTGACGCTGAATTCAGGAGTACTTCCTATTCTGCATAATGGATCTTCACTTTATTCTAAGGACACCAGCAAGTGATTTCAGAATTCCAGGGTTTCAGCTGCAATATTTGGTGATATAATATTAGATGAGTAGAAGAGTTTCTACCCCTTGGAATGTCAGATTCATTACTGGATACCCTGAAACGCCATCACCACATTTCTAAACTGGCTCACTTTTTTTTTCAGCTGTCAGCTCCTGGAATATCCTTCAGGCTGGAAAACAGCTGAGGGTTATTTCAAGCAACCCTGAAAGATCAGGAGACTTGGATGGAAGAATCTCCAGAAAGGTAAAGGCAAGAAAACAATTTATTGCCTGCTACAAAATTTAGGATGACAGAAAACAGAGATGGAAGTTCCCAGGTAGTCTTTAAGGAGAAAAACAAGTTTAGGACATGGAAGAGGAAACATTACAGATCTTACTACGGAAGAGTGATGTTGTCCTCATGCTCAATAAAGAATAGAAAACCCTTCTAAATACATGACATTTGCTTTCAATGTCTCTGTTGTTGAACCCTGGGAAGTACTTGGACAGGTTTTACCAGCATATTTACCAAATAGTTTGTCTTTATATATTGGAACCATGTCATCTATTTTACAATATGTTTGTATACTGAGAAAAATAATTTCATACAAAGAACTACAGACACTTAAGCTCTTCTGACTTCCAGCTGAACTTGGAGTTATATAAAAATATGTGTAGACAGCCTAGACATTAATAGACTGATGACCAAAAAAAAAAGGAGAGATGCTATTCAAAACAGAAGAGTTGCTCATTTCATGAAACTTACTCTCAACAAAGAAACAACACATAGAAAGGAGCAGTGTTGTTTATTTTCAACACCTTTATGGCATTACTATTTTGTAAAACACTGCTGTGATGTGTAAAAATGGATCAGTTCAATTCTTAGGAGAAACTCACAGTTACTGTGCTGGCAGTGACCAGGCACGAGGGAAAAAAGTTCATCACTTTTCTAAGGTACTGCAATGATTGAAACACAAAACCAATATCTGGCAGTAATTCCAAAAGAATTTTTTTTATCATGTCTTACTGATAAAAAAGTATAAAATATTTATTTAGCAATTCAAATCTTGCTATATACACAGATGGCCTAATTTCCTCTCCCTTACTTTTTTTTAAGGTCAGAATTAAAGGAACTAGAGGAACAAAAAAAATCCCCAAGTACTTGAAGTCAGGTGTTGTTTTCAGTGATTTCTGAGTGTAACAACTGAAGTGGAATTTTGCTACTTTCTTTCTAACCACATCTCAAGAAAAATGATAAGCCTAATTGAAAACTTCACTGGAGTTCAAATTCTTAAGCAGTTCTGTCCCCTTTTTGGCAGTGCTGGCTGGGCTGTTTTTGAGGAGTTTTAAAATTTGTGTTATTTTGTTTTGTTTGTTTATTGGGGCTTTTCAGTTTTTCCTAGTTCCTGACAGAATTTATCTCCTCAATAAACAAATGGGCAAAAGACTCCCCTGTACTGAGATTATGTGGCCCCTTTACAATGTAAATCCTACTATATCCATTTATACTTTGGCCCAGTTGTACTGTTCTCCTCTTTTAACAGGTTACATTTCTGCAGCAGCTCCTATTTGACAAAAGGCTACTCTGCTTTCTTGTAATATGCTTCTGTTCCTCCCTATCCCATTAATCTTCCAGCCACTGATTCCATAAGGCAGGCAGTCCATCACAACCTCCTGCTGTTTGTAGCCACGTACAGAACTGGCAGTCCTTTGTGGAAATTTCAATTACCACTAGAGAGCAGCAAGAGCCCAGTTACCTACAAGTTCAAAAGGGAATTCAAAAGGAAAAAAAAAAAAAAAAAAAAGGAAAAGAAAAAATGTTAGGTAGTTGGTTGGTTTTTTGTTTAATTTTATTTTTTAATTGTAATTGAAATTTCCCTTATAGAGAAGAATTATGTCATAGTTTCTTTATAGTAGTTAGTAGTTCACAAACATATTCTTCCAATTGAAAAAAATTTTTCATTTTAATCAGGTATTAACAGAATGACTGCTCCTCACTGCTTTATCTTCAGTCTTCTCTGCATTTTTAATAATTTCCACTGCATTTCTCACATATGCAGGGGAAAAGAAAACCAAGTATTTTAACAGTGGGTTGGTGATGGGGGGAGATGGGAAATAATGAGTGAAACTCCTAGGAGAAATACCACCTGGCCATACAGTTACTACAAGTTGACTATACACCTACTAAATGTGGCAAAATATGATTTTGAAACATGAGTTTTAAGAGCTATCTTTTGACATTTTCCCCTAAGCTCTGAGAATCAAAAATTAAGCCAAACAGAATTCTGCAAGTATGCACTCCAGCATACAGAGACCAACGCAAAGACCATGTGGCTCATTGATAAATTTCCACTCTGAGACGCTGTCAGTGTCATTTGTAAAGCTGTAAAGGATTAGTGGTGGCAGGTTTCAGGAACACAGTAACTCAGAAAACTATAGTCAAAACCCTGACATAAAATTGAACGCGTAAGGTTTTTGAATCCCAGTTCCCACATGCCTTTTTTTTATTCCCTCAAACTGCTACCTAAACATTCTTGCTTAAATGGCCACAGATTTCAAAACTAGCAGGGATCAAGGGAACTTCTTGATTTAAACTATGAAAATTATGCTAAACATCTCAGCCAAGTTGTATTTGAAGGAAAGTTTAATGCACCAATGTTTTTCTTTAGACAATGAAGCTTGGGAGCAGCACTAAACCTCAGCTAAGGTCAGCACCAAAGTCAGGATGGACAAAGGTTCAGCTCCAGAATATGGTTTAGCAGACAAAACAGACTTGCTTCTGCTGCAAGGGTCACCTCCAAGTTTTCCTTTCCAGCCTTTAGATCTGCCCCTTACATACAGTTTCACCTCTGATATGCATTGACTCCATCAGGTTTGAGAGAACTCAAGGGAGGGAGCCCAGTGAGGCAGTGGGCAGCAGGGAGAGTGGAAGATGACGTTCATCTACCTCTCCCTCCCACCACAGCCCTTAGGCTGGCTCCTCTGACTTGTCAAACCATACCATGGGATTCCTTTGGCAGCTGATATTAGCTACCAAACAGCAAATCACTTAACCCCCAGCTGAAATGGTTTTCTAACACATTTCTCAGACATTTGGGAGAAGAACTTACATTTCCCAGGTTTAGCTGGGATTCGGATTACAGTGGGTTTCCGAGCTAAAACAGGTTGAGCCGTCTGTTCCTTGGCAGGTTCATTTTTGGTAAGGAACTGAAACGGATCTAGAAGGAGGAAGAAAACCCAACATCTTTAATATTTATTTGTTGAACACAAATCTTAGCAAATACTGCTTCCATTATTAAGGATATTTATATTTCTCACCCAATACAGTAATAAAAAAACATAGATCAGGCTGATGCAACTATCATATCCAGCTCTTTGTAAGTAACAGGTCTTCTTTGTACACCTGCTTTCATAGTTTACTTAACATAAATATGCTCCAGGTACCTCCTGGGATTATATGAGCCGCTGAACAAGAGGAACTGCATTGCTTGGTAATAAGGACCTGAAATCAGAATAGCTTTAAGGAAAGGTACAAAGCACTTGATCTAATGTACTGACATAGCTGTGAACACATTCACTGAAAAGTTTTAATCAATACAATCTTGTCAAAGCTAAACAATCAGACTGCAGCAGATAAAATACCTACTGAAACATACAAAACATTTAAATACTACTGAGTACAAAACGTCCTTGCTGTAGAACTAATTCTTTTGAAGATTCTGCATAATTTTGTTGGTTGTAAACCCAGTGACACAGAGGGAACTGGTTCACACCATGGTCTGGGAGTTGGGCCTGAGCTCTGCCCCTGCCTATATCACTCATTCCTCTACAAGCCTGCCCAAGCATTCCATTGGTAAGACAGGAGCAATGTTTCCCATGCTTCATTACCTTAAACACTGGTCTCTTATTAACACGCATGGGAACATCGGCGCATGTAGAAGGGAGCTGTAAAAATACTAGTACATAAATAAAGACCAAATTAATGGGTTCTTTCTCAAGTACACCTTTATGTCAAAGAGCAATACTTCTTTCTTCTTAACAACTGCTACTTCTTTGTCTGACATTATCAAATTCTGCAGTAAAAAGGCAATGCTTAACAGTATCATAAAAATGTACAGTAGAAACTGGAGAAGGGCTCTGGGTGATAAATCTGACACATATTCATAGCCACAACAACCAAGACTGATCTCTTCTGCTGGCCTTTTCAGATGTGCAGCTCAATGAGATGTTATTTATGGAGTGTCACAGTCCAAGAGAAGAAATATGCAGGGCATCTCTTTGAATTCCTCGTGACTTTAATAAAAGCATATCCTTTCCCAAAACTACTGCCACGCTTCCAGACAAAGTTGGAAAAAATCTGTGTTTGATAAAACAACACTTAGTAAAAAATGTTATGTCCTATGAAGTAATGATTTCCTATGGACAATTTTGAACAACACAATCCAACCTGAGTAATTAATGATCTGTGTCTGGCAATTCACATAAGGTTTAAGAAAGTCCAGAAATGCAGTATTTATTTATGAACAACCTCATGCCCTCCCACATGCACATGACTCGGTGGCCATAGCTCCCCCTTCCCACTGCATCTCCATCAGCCCCCTCTGGCAGTGCCCTCAGCTCCTGCTGCCAGCGTGCAGCTGTCACAACAGCAGGGACAACATGCCACAGGGCCCATGCATGCTCACCCTGCTCAGATGTCCACCTCCCACCAGCCCCTTGCTTAAGGCTTTCTTCACAGGCAGATCCATCCCATATGGGTGTGCTGTGTGGATTTGTGCCATAGCCTCTCTTAAAGCCAACCTGCCTGCAGGTTCCCCAGAAGCCCACCTGGCTACCTTCAGATCACATTTTAATCAGGAATCAAGCAAATCAATTCCTTCTGTCAGGCTGCTTGTACAACAGCTGGGAGTGTACACTTCAGGTACAAAGGATCATGGCAGGTCTGCAATTTCTCTAGATAAAGGTATACAGGCTACAGTTAAAAAAAAACTCTGTTACCATCTAGACAAAAGATGGCTCCGCCACATTGTGCCCAAAGATTTCCACTGCATCTGGTAATTAGGTACAGGCAATGCACAATGCTTTAGAATGTAAGGGTGAAATAACATTTTGTTCAAGTTATGGATTAGCACATGAGGGTAGAGGGTTTAGGTCTCTTCAGTGAAAGCTGCACCGCAGCAAGAGCTTTAGTAGAGGACTTGAAAACACAGACCACAAGTGGGGTAGAAGCACTCTGGAAGTACAGTCATTACAAGGAATCAAAATCCCATCACTGGAGCAAGCCTGTAATATTATTTTACTCTTTTATACCACCATCTGCTAGCCACACTGCTAACACTTCAACTGCATTAAAAGACCCTGAAGATTTATCAAACCTTAACTTTTGTGCTGGTGTTTAGAGTGACTTTAAGTGCAGCTGAAAAAAAAAGAAAACCCTGAAACTGGTTTATATTCTCTTTTAGTTATCTGGCAACTACATCAGACTTGAGGAGTGACCCTGGTAAAGCAGCAAGGCATCAAAGGTGCATTTGCCTATAGGGAAGCTGGAGACACAGGATGAGCAGAGGAAAAGTGAGCAGGACTAAGTCAGGGGCTCCTTGACACAGCATGACCATAAGGAATGCCCTGGCACACAGAGCACCTCTCAGGGTAAGGTTCTGAAAAGGTCAAGGAAGTTCTGCATGAAAAATGAGGAAACAATTTTCCATAGCCTCCATCTTATGAAAATATAGACACTGAGAGACCTAGTGGAAATGCTCTAAGTATCCCAAACAATCACAGTTCTGTAGTCTTGTAAATTTAAAGAAGATCTAAAATTGTAAAAAATTGCTGTTTGTCAGCTGTTAATCACTGCTATGCATAGAAAGTTTTCTTGACCATTCAGCAGTTGGCAGAGGTCTCTACATCAATACATCTGACAATTTTTAAGTCTGAGAAAAGCAACTTCTAAGGCTGAGAAAATCATTTGATGAACGTTAGTTTTCCACTCATTATCTTATGTTCAATTATACTGTTGTCACCTCATAATTAGTTTAAAACTCATTACCTTGTTTGTGTTATTCCATTCTCCAGTGCTGGGTTTGCAGCAGAATTTGGCTGAGAAAATGACTCTGCTGCTTTGTGCAATGGGACTGACAACATATCAAATTTTTATGTTGTTTAACAACAATTGGGCATCATTTGATCATAATTCATGGAGGTGTGAAAACAGAATTGTTAATTTACTCATTTAAAGCTTCTCAGCTCAAGGGAATTAATCTGCAAGTAATTTTTCATAAGACATATCAACAGACCTCTATTGATTTTTTTATTAAAGTTTTGCAACTATGCTTAAAATCTGTGGCTTCCTTAGTCTCATTTTTCTAGAGCTTCTGTTTCAAAGGGTTATGTGATAACATATATTACTGTGCTTGTTGGCAGGAAAGACAAATGCAAGCTGTGTCTTCAAATAAACCATACATAATCTCCTTTCTTTAAACAGTTTGGGAGAAACAACCTTTTACCCCCCACTGACATACACCACCCTTGTTTAAAATTAAAAATGAGGTTACAGAAGAAGCAGTAGCTTTTGCCCATGCAAGAAGGACAGATGGGTATCTTCCTGAAATATTTACTGGTAGTCTCTGAGAGGTAATAAGATGGTAATGGATACCTCAGCAGCAGTAAGGGGAATCTCCAAACAAATAGTAAGTGGAAGGCTAAAAGCCCACGATACTATCTGTTGTGAAGATGCTCAGTCCAGCGAGAAGCACGCAGTACACATGAGAACAATGGAGTACAAAGGTGTGGATACTGATATGACACTTGTCACTACAGAAGTATGCAACTGTGTCTACTTTCCAGGTTTAATTTTAAAACCTAAGTCAGCTGTTAAAGGCAAAACTCCCACATGCCCTTCGCACAGAGCAGTATTGTCACCAGAGTCTTTCAGGAACAGAGAACAGGAACAGACTTCATCAACAAATGGTTTTATTAAAACCTAGCCCCGTGAAAGCACTCTGGTGTTTATGGAAGCACAATCAACCCATACTTGGGGGAAGATTCTCAACAACAGGCCCTTCCTAGTAATACAGCCAGGGAGTCAATGGAAACCTGACAGACGACACCTCAAAGAATGGGGCTCACGCTCAAGAAACACTGTGAAATGTCACAATCAAAAACTGGGTGTTCACTCAGACATTGTATCAATCAGACATTATAAATCTCAGCCTATTTACAATAATAAAGAGATGTATTAGACAGGTATGGAATTTAAATTCCAGCATCAGTGATTTTACCAATCTGCTTTCCACAGTATTTTCCATCAAGAAAATTAACAGTTCACTGTTTTCAGAAATGGATTTCTGGCACAGAGAGAATAACATGGTCTACACCACCTTTCACAAAATATGCAATTTGCAGCTCCCTCTGCATGGAACATTGCCATGATCTGGCAATAACTGTAACTTTTAAGAGACTGGAAAATTAAAAAAAACAAAACAAAACAAAACAAAACAAACAAACAAAAAAACCCAAAAAAAAAAAAAAGAGAGAGACCATGGGATGCATGTTCTTTCAGCATCTGATCTGTGCACAACCTCAAACTAAGTTCAGGCTTCTTGGTATTGTCTTAACAGTAGAAGACCAGACCAGCTCACTCAAATAAAAGGAATGCAGTATCATTCGGGAGGAGACTTAGTACTGCTTCAGACATAAAACTGGAGGAGAGGCAAGCAAGTCTGCTTTGCAGAAAGAGCCTAGCCATCAGTGTGACAAAAGTGCACAAAGACAAAGAACTATATAGAGTTTTGTATTCTCTGTAAAGTATAGACAAAATCTGCCAAGACATGCCACAGAAGATTTGACTTAAATGTACTTGCTGCAATGCAAGCTGTCCTTAACTGAGCAATGAAATCTCATCCATGCAGTCAGAAAGCTGGAGAGCAGATAAAAGCTACTACTAGAATAGCAAAACTTCTTGGACTTTTGTAACACTTAATGGCAATAAAAGCATTCATGGGGTAGAAAATGACACACATACTACTTGTACATATAGAGAGATGTAGATGAACCTTCTCTGAGCTTTTTCTCTCCAGAAGTGGGGGAATGCCCACCCTTTGCACCTGTGTGTATTTAAAAGCATAACCATTTGTACAATGTTCACCTGTACTAGTAAAGGTGATGGAAATTACACCGCCTTTGGCACAAAAACACTGGGCATACCAGCATAAGCTATTACAGGAGAGTTTGGAGGTTCCTCTTCTATCACTTGTCTGGTTTGCTAGTTGAAGTAAGACTAGGGTAGTTTAGACTGGAAGAGCCTTCAGGAGGTCTCTGATTAAACTTCCTGCCCAGAACAGGTCAGCTGTGAGGGCATGTTGCTAGAAATTGGTTGTGTAACCTGGTTTGACTTCAAAAATTAGATGCCGGAGGGTATTTGGACATACAGTGGGTGACCAAGAAAATATACCCCCAAAATGCCCGGAAGATTAAGAAACACAGCCTTGTCCATTCTTGCCAAGCAAATGAATGATTTTTTTATTGCCAAGAGATTTAAGTGCCCAGGCAAGCTAGAAATTTCCAAAGCAGGCAATGGAAAGCAGTCAGACATACAAAATCTGTTTTTTAAATTGAAAATGTGAAGGACAAGGTAATTTATAATGCTGTTTAAAATACCTAATCTACTCTCTTGCAAGAATCTCACATGTTTTCAGAAAAAAAAAGGGTTTTTTAATAAACATTTTCTTTTAAATAAGCATTGTTTTTCTTTGACAAACTTTGTGAAGAAAGGATATCTGCATTTTAAATATTGTAACATAAACATTTAATTATCAGAGAAGACAGATCTTATTAAGAACATTATTACTTGTGTGTTCACAGCATCTATAGACCTGGAACTCAAACCAAATTAATTTGCATTTGACAACCTAAAGAGCTACTCATCTATTACGCAGCTATGATTTAAAAACCTTATTTGTTTCCTGAGCCTTCTCCTGTGCCAACTTTCAAGGTCCTTGAAGGCTCCAATATATATCCACTAAGCAAGCACCTCTAGTGACTGAAGAGTTAATGGATGCTTGTTATCACTTTTCCTGGAGACTGTCAACCTTGCAGCACAGCCTACAGGACACAGCACAGCCGCCAATGTCCAACAGCAGCACGTCCTCAGGTAAAACTGTTTTTACAGGGTTTTATGCCAAAGAGCAGATTAAAATGGATGAGACAGCTCATTCTTTTCTGGGGTAATAATCTGTCAGTAAATAAAAGAGGAGACAGGTGTTTTGAAAATAACCTCAATAAGAGTCATCAGAAACACTGCTGAACCTTAAGAAAAGCTGCATTATTTTGATGCTATGTCTGAAATAATCTACCAGTTAGAAGTATTTACTTTTTTTTTTTCTTTTTTTCTTTTCCATCCTGAGGAAGCAATTAAAATCAAGCAGCTGGGCAATATCCCCACAGCAGACAAATCTGGAGTTACTCAAGCAGCAGCTTTTCTGAATTGTCTATAATGTCACACAAATGCCACCATTCATGCCACAAGAAGCAACAATACATATAAATGAACAGCAGCGTTGCTTTAGTTGGATATTTTTTCTCAGCAGAGACAGAAGTGAACCTTTACACTACGACAAAGTAGTTAGACAGACAGGTAAGACAATTAAGAAATGCAGTAGTCTCACTACTGTTGGACCTGAACGTAATGAAGATATCAAGATGAGAGCTGTCTCCTGCTGGCAAGGTAAGGCACTCTCTGAACTACTTTTCAAAGCATCTGCTTTAAATTGAGTTCTGCTATGTCAGGCACAGAGCAATCAGTGAATTATATGCTGTTCCAGAGAGAAGGAAGAAGAGAGAAGAGCTTCCCACATGTGAAAAGTAATAAAAACATTGCAGTAATATCACCTCCAAGTTTTAATTTAAATGGGTGCTCTAAATGCACCATAACCTGACCTTCTTTGTCCAAAACATACATTCTCATAACTTTTAGCAAGCAAGCACACTACATGCTTTGACATAGCAACTAATACAACTTACAGGTAAAATCATCGTCTTCTGAAGCTGTGACATTTACAGTTAAACTTGCACTAGGATTTAATTCTCAAGCCTTTGTAAAAATGGATACGTGAGAATTGAGCCCCACCTGATAGATTACCAAAATGTTTAACCACCAGGAACAGCACAAATTCTTATTATCAGCCATAAAAGAAATGCAGAAGTAACCCAGATTATCCAAAATACCACAACTATCATCAAAGCATTAGAACCAAAAGGTGTAGAGTCCCAAACAGATGCCTTCACATTCTAAATGACTGACTTAAATAGAAATAATTTCATTAGGATACAAATGGCTTTGAACATTAGCCTTTGAGTCCAGAAGTATGGCACTTAAAACTGTTTTGGATGATGACAAAGCAGTTCTACAGATTTGTCATTCCTGACTTCTCCCTCCTAGCACTTCCCTTGGGCCAGCATCATGAGTTGGCTGCAAGATTCTGTCAAAATTCCCTTCTGAATTTTGAAGCCTCCAAAGCTCCCACAGACTTCAACTCTCTGAGTGGACGCTGAAAACTTTAAAAGAAATCTCAGTATCCAGAATCTCTATATTCACCAGAATGATTCCCCTCTTCATACAGATTGGACAAGGATAAAATTATTGACGTTTGGATAAGGGTAAATTCACACAACTAACAGCTGAGCTGCTGGAGATGCTGTCAAACACTGATAAAACTTACAGGATTTTTTGAGGTAAACTTGAATCATTCAGCTAGTTTTGGTAGTTGAACTACCAGTTAAACACTGACATTTAGACAGGTGACACTAAAGTGGTTTGTTGCCAGTACTGTTGATCTTAGCACATACACAGTATTCAAATATCTTTCGCTTACTGTGCAGGTGGTAGCCTTCTGTTAGAGGAAGCTGATGTCTTACATCAGTCAACTAAACTGCTGTGGAGTCTCTGAACTTTGTTCTGCCTGTTTCACCTTTTCATTCACATGCTCACTTCAATTTCTGCCTTCTGTGCCCTCCTCATCATCCACTGAACACTTCCCTTTCCTCCTTTCACAGCAGGAGCCAGCAGCAGCAGGGGTTGATCCCTGCAGTTCTGTTTACACTGGCCTAACACAGCTGTGCTGCTCCAGACAAAATGAAGCTCTGGTAAGGCTGCAATATGCAATGTAACACTGCTCTCTGACAAACAAGATGCTGGTGCTTGGCTTCCAATGCCACTGCATAAAAGCCTTCTTCCTTTCCTAGGGTTGCCATAACAACAAGCAGAGCACTGTCATTTTGCTAAGTAATGACAATGACAAATATCTAAGAAATGCAAAGGTCTGGGGAACTGGGAG